TATATATATATATATATACACACATACATAGAGCATTTTTGAATAAACTAATTAAGTTACCTGTATCTTCAGAAACCCAGAGGGCTAAAATTAGATAGCATGCAGTATTTTTAGAATAATTTTATTTCTAGAATAATTTTAATCGCAGACACTGAAATTTACAAGTCCACTTGTCTTAAGCCTAACATCAGTTAAGCGTTTTTAAATTACGAACTATATTTGATAGAGATAAATTATCACTGTAACTTGTGTAAGTTTTTTGCTTTAGTTTAGTTAGGGCTAAACTTTACCATACTTAATACTATCAGTAAATATACTTATAATGTTATTTGATGACCTAACATTAGAAAGTGTTAAAAACTTTGATAAGCATTTAATTTTTTGTTTACAAAGTCTCTACTAAAGTACATTTACATCTATTGAAATGAGGTGCACGTATATGTGCTTTTAGGTTGTAAGGTGCTCGTGCATTATCAGAACAGACAGAAGTTGAGTATTATTATAACAGATGTTCAAGAAGATTTTGATCTATCATGTACTTTGTTCCTCAAGACTTGACTGTTTTTTGAAGAATGCCTTAAGTCAGTATAGCTACTAGGGGATCATGAATCAGAAGAAAACTACTAGTCAGTTGCTTGGTAATTGTTGCGTAAAAACGTTGTTCAAGTAAACTAACTTTTAACTAGAAATAAAACATCCAGTCATTTCTTCTTCCTAAGAAATTAAATTCTATACCTTTTTTAAAAATATGTACATTATATCAGGATATTATCTTATCCACTGCTTCAATTACCTATCTATATAGAGCTTGTTTAATTAATTATACTAATTTTCTTGTTTTTGAATAATTCTAAATTTTAATATTAAGAGTTTTGTCCGTATTTTCACATGATATTACTCCTAGCCAACAATGAATCATGATAATTAAACTTAACAGTTGTATAAACTTCACAAATATGTATAAGATTGTTTGTGTTTTCAGTGATAAACTGGCAGCACTGAAGATTATAAAAAATGTGGATAAATACAGAGAAGCAGCAAAGTTGGAGATTAATGTACTAGAAAAATTAGCAAGTGCTGATCATGTGGGGGAAACAGTAAGTTGAATTTAAATATATATATATATATATATATATATAGCATTAAGTTTTATAGTGGCAGTGTGCTCATCTTCTGGTTAAAAGCTGGTTTTCTTAGCTTGATGGCAAAATATTCTAGCAATCATTGGAATTCTTCCGAGAATACAGATGTTTAGATGAATGTGATGTTCCTGCTTCCAGTTTCTTCCACATTGTCCTTCATTCTCTGGAAGAATTCGAACTTAGAATGCTAAAATCTCTTGCCATTAAGCTTAGAAAACTAGCTCTTAACCAGATGATGAGCATGATGCCTCTAGATCCTTAATTGTGAAAGCTTAAAGAATGAACAGAATGTTAACTTCCATCATTGAATAGGTGGTATTAGCTGAGATTGTAAAATGAGTGTTTAGCTTTTTCAGATTTTTTTTAAGGACATGAGTTAATAATGTATTTAAAGATTATGATTGTATTATAGAGTCTGTAACTAGAAGTAAGACCAAATATAGCTCCTTATCACCAAGTTTCAATTCTGAGCTTCATTAAAATCTAATGATTTTGACATCTTTTATGATAAGCTTTGGCTGTAGATTATTAGCCAGGCAGAATTAGGTTAGATTGGATCAAAGTTTATTATTAATATTAATGACATATCCAAATCCTTGTATTTTTCATCACTCGATGAGTGTACTCCATGAAATCTTTTTTTATGTTACTGTTGAAAACATTTGCTGCATGTTAATTTGTAATTATATATAGCTTTATAAAAATGCCACAAATAGTATACAAATATTTTTCCCTAATCTGTAATCAGACAAGTCATAAACTTGAACAACATGAAATATTATTCTGCTTTTGTCTTTAGCATGTTGGGATGCAGGCTTGCATATTCTTATATTTTGATAGCTACTGAATCATGAAACAACCCATAATAAAATTAGATTAATGTATACATGAAAATGCACCATAAAACTATGTTAATGCAACCACAATTTCTTAGCCCATATGTGTATATCATGCTTAATGAATAAATGTTAATCATTATAATGGACATTTTTTATTATTATTATTATTTGTAGTCTTCAAATGGAAAAGTGTAATGTTCTTGCTATATGTAAATTATTCTGGATGAATACCTTTTTTTTCCTGAAAATATACTCAAACAATCTTTGTGGTTGAAAAACAAAAGTAAATGGAAACTCAGAAATGTAAGTATCACAACAGCAGAAATCTCAATGCAGGAAAAAGAGAAATGGACAGACTGCAATGTCTTGCATCATAATGTAAATTTTTTTTGTATATCGTCATTTAAAACAGTTAATATGTGTAAATTTTGCAATATCTTGCCAATACTCATCTTGTTTTGTTTAAACTGTCATTTTTGTAGTATTTTGTAAGTAATTGTGTGTATTTGCTTGTCAAGATAACTAAATTAGATTACTTTGAAAGAGAAGTTGTCTGGCAAAGTTCAAGACCTGATGCATAAATTGAAATAACTTTACAAACATTGTGATGACACACTTCTGTTTAAACAGATTTAGATGTTACCTGTATATTATTGTCCAGTGTAAGTTGTTGGACTTAATTAGTAAAGATTAATTTAGTCAAATCATTGTGTATGATTGAATGTAGATCCTCAAGCATAAAGTGAATACCTTTAAGAAAAGATCAAATAAGAATCACAGTTTAAGTACATACATACATAAATATTAGAATTTTTGGAATTGTAGTTTTGACAGTTTCAATGGAATTTTGTTTTTATCCCTAAAGGTGTTTAGAAGTAATAAAGTTATAAGCTCAAGGTATTTTTTGAAAAATTTTTACAAAAAATATATTTTATTTATTTTCCTTTTCAGTCTGTGTGTGAAGATGCTGGATTGGTTTGACTACCATGGGCACATGTGTATTTCTTTTGAAATGTTAGGATTAAGTGTATTTGATTTTTTGGTGAGTACCAGTTTTCTTTCCTTTTTTTATGTAGTAAAGATAAATAATTTGCATTTGAATTATATTTTTTAGTGATAAAACTTTCACAATAAGAATATATAGATAGAAATTTGTTCTGCTTGTTCAAAAAATTTTCCTATCATCACATTATCTATTAAAATTTCACCTAAAAATGTTCTATTATACTGTTATTATGCCTGAAATTCTAGTTTTTCTATACAATTTTGGATGACAAAAACTAATAGACCTAACAATCACCTAGGACTGCAGTTGGTTTTTACATTCCTATTAATTTGTCCAGAATACTTTGAATCAGAGATGGGTAAAAATAGAATTTCAGATCTATCTTTTGGCTTCTAGAAATCCTTGACCAGGTGGCCCTTCATTCAGTAACAGAATTGAAAAGTTGCAAAGTCATATTGAAGTTATACTTTTTTTCTTTTAGTTATTAAAATGTGTTTGAAACATCACTTGTCAGCAATTGATATTCATTGTATGGTGAATTGTGACTTAGGGTAATAATCTTAGTACTGTGTTTAAATCATTCTGGTGTTATTATTTAGAACATAATCACAGAACTATGTTTGAATAATTTTGTCAGTATGTGGTTTACAGGCATAAAACATTTTCTTTCCAGTGTGACTCAAAAAACAACAACATCAACAAAAATAACTGAAACTGTATAAGCCCAAGTTTTGTGTGTCTTTATGACATATGCAACATAATCACTGGCTATAGTGTAAAACAGTATTTTTAAACACAACAGTCATTTAAACTTGTATGTCTGTATTTTTTTTTGCTATTTTGTTTACCTGTAATGTGCAGGCTCTTATCTGAACATGAACTGTTATTCAAGTATATATGAAAACAACTAAATACCATTAAAAGGAATAGATATGCACACACAATATATATTATTGTATCATCATAATAATAATATTCCATTTACTTTCATTCTTGATTCAAAGATCTTTCAAACAAAGCTCAGTCCTTACAAGAACCTGTAATATGGCCTAGAAAGTACAGTGATATTTCAAATAGTATTGTGGTATTCTCAGGTTCACTGATTTCCCTTTGAGTCGGGCCTGGCACGGCCAGGTGGTAAGGGAGCCTGACTTGCAATCTGAGTGTATATTTGTGTAAAAGTCTAAACAAACCCTTTCAGTAATCAGGTATGATCCACAAGTTAACAGAAGGTTTGAGCTGAAAATATTATTCTTTTGTTTTGACTAAGTTTAGTAAATAAAGAGACTGGACACAATTTAACACACAGACAAAAACAATGAATGTATAAATGGAAGACTGTGCTTTCAGAAACTTGCAGATCTCTGTAAGAGCTTAAAACCAGTGAAAGAAATCTGTTGTACTTTGTTCCAGACTGAGAAAACATTTCAGCTTCAACCCTTTTTGAAAAAATTTAAAAATTCCCTTTACTAAATAAAGGAGGTAGAAAACACCCAGTATGCTTACATATTACAGCATAAACAAATGTTGTTGGCATTACAACTAATTTCTGGTGATTCAAGCATTGCTAAGTATATTTGTTATATTGCATTGAAATACTAGAAATAAATGATCTTATAACACCAAATTGTTGTTTTTCTTTAATTGGACACTCAGTGGTTTGTGTTTTAGTGGAATGCTCCTGAAGAAGCTGTAAAGCAAAATGAAACATTGAGTGTCCAATTAAAGAAAGATGACAATTTTGTGTTATAAGGTCATTTATTTCTAGTGTTAAAATGTCTTCTATACACCAATATACACTAGAGAAATTAAATAATATTGCATTTAAAATGCACTAGGTTCCTTCAATTGGGTTATTTTCTTTGTCATAATACGGTGATGAATAAACAGGGCTAATTAAAATATTTGCAACTCCGACTTTCAACCATAAAAGTTTTTGTTCATTAATCTGGTATGTCTTTGGTTATCTTGCAGTTAAGTGTAAAAGCTTTTGTGAAATATACTTTTAAAAAAAGGTACAAATAAATATGGGCTGTTGGTTTCCATATACAATGTAGTTTAGAAAACATTAACACTTTCCAGAACCTTGTGAAACATCTTACAGTTCAATTGGTACTAGTCCATCATCGATGGACCCCCAGTAAATTTGAGAGCTTATAATGATAAAAAAATTGAGTTTTGATACCCATTGTGGGCATGGCATGGATAGCCCATTATGTAGCTTTGTGCTTAATAATAAAGAAACAAACCATCATTGTTAATTGTTTTTTATATATTTGCTTGGTTATTCAAGTTGTAAAGAAGGCATTTTTGAAATTAATAAATACAGATTTTTTAACCAGCCATTGATTACCTGAAACAAACTCTAGAATTTCGGGAAACACAATTTAAATTGAATATATTTAGAAGTTTAACCTTGAATTGTGTGCTTCTAACTATTATAGTGCTTTGTGAATTCAGATAGAGATTTGAAATGGTTATTATCAATTACATTAGCAAGATATGTGTATATGTAGTTTTATGTTTGTGAAAACGTTTCTGTACATAAAAACTGTCCTAGTTTTTCTGTTTTAGATAAATGAGCTGAAAGTTAAATCTATTATGAATTAAATTTCTTGTGAATAACTGCCAATCAGTGGATAGTATCTAAATTCCAATATTATTTTATAACGTAATGAAATGTTTTTTCTTTACACACACAACAGTGGTAATTTTGATCTATAAATCTAACGTCTTCCTTGTCTTCTGTGCACATAGAAGGACAACAGTTATCAGCCCTATCCCATTGACCAAGTTAGGCACATAGGCTATCAACTGTGTTATTCAGTGAAATGTAAGTTTGTTTATTTCATATAAAGACATAAACTTATATGCCTATGCACCATTTTGACATTTTTACTTAGGTCATCCTTAGTTTAGAGAAAGTACAAGATCAACATCATCATAACTATTTATTGAAAAAAATAAATTTAATTTCCTCTTCCCCATCGATACTGTTTCTAAGTCTGTTTGTTTTGATTGGAAAAAGAAAAAAATCACTAGATACTCGGAAATTAAGGAAATAATAATTAAGTTTTATTAATTTACATCTAGAGGATCACTAAGTTCAAAGTGTAATATATTAAACTTATTTGATGGTAAAGAGACTTACAATACTAATGGTTGTTAGAGGTACTTTTAGAAAGCTGTGATTGAATATAACCTTTCTCTTTGTGAAGTGGTGTGGCTTACTTTACATGTACAAGTGTTTGGATGTTACTTTATTATAATAACTATACAATATTTGTTGATATCTCTGGTGTAAGTAATTTTAAGATTAATGAATACAACTCATAACACTCCAGTTAAAGTAATGAGCTATAATTAATGTGCTGAATTTGTTTAATTTAGTTTTGGTGATTATCAAACTAATAAAAACATATTTTATATTCAGCTATCTCTTGGTGGAATTGGTTAACTTCATATATAATAGGAATTTATATGCAAGTTTACTGGATTCTTGAGAACAATAATTATAGAATATGATGGGATCAGTTCTTTTTATCAACTCATTTCAAAGACATTCTAAAAAAATGTCAGTTAGCTGGCTGTCAGTATTAATATTTCATGATGTAGAAGTAAGAGTAACCACAGTATTGTGGAAGAAGACTGTTTACAAATAAACCAAGATCTTAACCATAATTATGCAAAACTTATATTCTTTGTGAAAAGCAACCAAACATTTTGAGAATCTTAAAATAATTTTTATTCAAGAAAAACCCTAAATTAGGTGTTTTATTGCTTCAAGATGTCTTTCATTTTATATTTTTGTGCAAAATATATTTGTTCTAATAATTATCAATGAACCTTTCATTATTGCTTTCATCATTTTAATTATCAAAAAAGTCTGGTAATCTCTCTTTCTCTCCTGTTTTTTGTATAGACTTATACTTGTCTCATTTATGTATGATATGAATGAATAAGATGCTTTCTGTTCTTTACCAAATAGTTCTCCATGACAATCAGTTAACCCACACAGATTTAAAGCCAGAAAATATTCTTTTTGTGAGCTCTGACTATGATATTACTTACAACTCAAAAAAGGTAAGCAAGTTCTGCAAAATTGATAGGTATTATAATGTATTGAACATGTATAGTGTTCAGTAGGGTAGTAGCTATGTAAAAGAATGGTTATATATAATGTATAGTTTTTCTCATGATTAAATGGATGCCTTTTGAGTTATAAACAATGACAAATGTAGAGCATTGGTATTGAAATTTTTTGATCTTGGGAGTATCATCAATATACCTATTTTTCCCCATTCTCAGAGTGAAAATACTTAACCAAATTGTATGGAACTTTCTAATGTGTCTAGTTCTTGATTAAGAAAGTCTTGTGTCCTAATTATTTTTAACTGGTTTCATATTCATCAGTATATTTCTATTACTGATTGAAGCAGTAATATACCTTAGTCTGAAAATCCTTACCTGACGTCACAAAAGCATATCCCTGTAGCTTTCATATGTACATAACACAAGATGTTATTAAAAGTACTAATCCTATGATTAATTGGAAGTATTTGAAAACTTTGTCTTAAGGTCACTTCATTATTCATGAGACAGTTCCTATCTTTAAACAGTACTACTGTAATTTAGATTTGGTATCCAGTCTATATCAGTAGTTTCCAAACTTTTTTCACTGAAGACACCCAAACTTATTTCAAAATAGCAATAATCTATATATATATATACATATATAATGTATAATAATTGGAATTTTACAAAATACTAATCTACTAAAACACAGCCAAAATAAATTGCTTTGCACACACCAAAGGTCAGTTTTATGTTATTTGATATGGTAACATGAGTGCGTGTTACGTCATTGTAACTTCCGTATTGTTAGCCAGGCACGGGTGAAAGGTCAATATTATATAAATGGATAATGTTACGAGGTTTAAGCTGTTTAGTCTATACGCTTATATTTTCATGTTCATTCTAGAATGAAAGAGACAATTTATATTTATTTATAATTTTTTATGGTGGTTGTGAGATCAGTCAAATCTACGGAACCCATAAAGAGATTAATTACTAAAAGTTACAGCATGAAAACTGTAACAAGCACAAAATGGTTATGAGGTCAGGTACTGAGCCTGTGCTGAAACATTTGAGAATATGTTTGGTAATGAGAGAAAAAAATTACAGAACTTTTATAGGAATTCTTTTAAATTTAGACAAAGGAAAAAAATATATCTGAAATTAATATAAAATATTTTTTTTGAAGAAACGTGATATTAGAAGAGTACGATCTACTGATATCAAACTTATTGACTTTGGGTCAGCTACTTTTGAAGATGAACATCATAGCACAATTGTTTCAACTCGCCATTATCGAGCACCTGAAGTTATACTTGGTAAGTGTTGTGAAGAACACTATTTGATACCATCAAAACATAACTAATGTCCTTGTATTTAGTAGCTTTTCTCAGAAAAAAAAAAGAAGAAGAACCTAAGTCAGATTTATATTCTAAATTGTTTGTTGAGATTTGATTAACTACATATGTAACAGTATACTATTTATAAGTTTTGTATCAATTGCTGATTATTGTACCTTTAGAGCTTGGTTGGAACTATTCTTGTGATGTATGGAGTATTGGCTGTATCCTGTTTGAGCTATATTTGGGTATCACCCTTTTTCAAGTAAGTTTCTTAATATATTAGTTGATTCCATTATTCTGTCGTTTATAAAAATTATCTTGCAACTTTATATATACTTCAGCATATTTGTATCTCACATAAAAGATACAGGATTTCCAAGAAATTTGAACTTGTTTTTGAAATTAATATTTCATATATTTGCATTTTTTGTGTACTGTATATAGCAGATGATCCAAAAATAAAGACTTGAATAGTATCTTTAAAATATGTATATTGTTACAGACCCATGACAATAGAGAACACCTTGCTATGATGGAGCGAATCCTTGGACCACTTCCTTATCGCATGTGTCGCAAAACAAAGTATGTTTTATCATAAGTTCTTAAAATACATAATAAAGAAACTGTTTTATTATTTCTTGCCACATGTCACCTTTTTAACATTTTTCCAAATTTTATGTACTAAACAGAACTAAGTACTTCTACCATGGAAAATTAGAGTGGGATGAGAAAAGTTCAGCTGGCAGATATGTGAAAGAGAACTGTAAACCCCTAAGGGTATGTATGTTGTAACAAAATATTTACTTACTCATCTCAAAAGTTGGTTTTTTTGTAACAAGTATGGTTTACAATATCACTTTTGTATTGAAATGTTGAATTTTTTAAACAGAGATACATGGTATATGAAGATGAGGACCACAGAAACTTGTTTGACCTCCTAGCTAGAATGCTAGATTATGAACCTTCTCAGAGAATTACCTTATCAGAGGCATTGAACCATTCGTTTTTCACAAAACTTCCTGAAGAATCCCTATGGCATATTCAAGATCAAAAGTTGGAGCAGGAACCAAAAAACGGGTTTAGGGAGCGTTCTCTTAGTTTGAGCAGGTGAACAAGTTTCATTTTAGTTTGCTTTAAAATTAAGAGCTTTACTTTGTTGAAATACCTATCTTAACTTGTTAAGAGTAATTGGAAGTAAGGTGGAGAACGCTCCCTAATAAACGTATGTGTAAATTGTATACAGATTGATTTTTGTAGAGTTTTGTGTTCAGGAACATTCATCTTTGAATGTAAATTTGTTACTCATTTGTACCTCTGTGCATCTTGTGGTTTTTTGGGTGACTGCTTACAAAAGCACACACTCTTAACTGAAAATTAGAAAAATGTATTAAATAAACTTTTATGTATTTTATTACTACTTCTATGTAGTACATTCCTACTGTTTCACAAATAAGACAGCAATATGTATATGTTTCTGAAATCATGAAATTAAAAGACACTTTAGCTTACATCTAATATCAAACAGTCATGGACAAAACACTATTGCCAAATAAGGTATAAACAACCAGGTTGTGTTGAAATTTCTCCAGCCTTCTTATGCTGTAAAAAAAAAAAAAATCCACATTCTTTATGTTAAAAAAACTTTAGCTGATTTAAATCTTAAACAGCAGCAGCACTTGGGTAAATAAAATAATTGGCTAGTTTCTGAAGAACACAGGAGCAGAAATCTACAAAAACTTTCTTGAAATTTTAAAACAGTATTTTTGGTAAGGTAAAAGTTATGTTACAATGCACATTATACCTATGTATTTCTATTCAGCATCACACACACACACACACAAAAATCATATTTCAGGTGTACTTGGTATGCCTGCTACTTCTTTTCCAAGGATTTTTCAGTGATACATAATATATACGAATATGCTTTTTGAAATCAAATGTAAAATTTCCAAAAGTTTAAGGCAAGCTAAGATGAATGGCACAATAGTGTTTTTAAAAAAAGCAAACTTTGTAGTTAGTCACACAATTATGTCATGAAATGTTTTATAATGGACCAGCTAAGTATGTTTTAAAAGTAAATACAAACCACCTGTGATATCACTATTGGACTTTAGATGTATTAATATAAGTTTTTAACCTGGTTGCAAATTCCCATAACAACTGAGGTGTACAATCAGTTTCTCACAACTTCTTTAAACTTACCATTCTTTTCTTCTGGTGACATTTTGTGAAACATATCATGTTCCCAGTGGCTGGGGGACCCTCTACCTCCTAGTGAACATATAAAATTTCCATAGAAAAAAATTAGTGTTATTAAGTGTAGTATGAGACTAAACTGCATTTAATATATTTTTCTTCACATACACTATAAAGTTCAAGGATTGTGAAACTGACAAACAATACACTTATTAATTAACATATAGGAAGTAGCATGTTTGGATCCAATACTTTGTCTCCAGGAGTATTATTAAATTAATTCGCTAATGTATCATCAAAGAATAACAATTTCTACAAGTATACTTCAAAACAGTTTAATTTGAAATTGATTGAACTATGAAAACTAACTACTATAATGTACCTGATGATGACAAAACCTTGTCGAAACGTTGTACATTT